TCTAAGAATAGAGTATACAAAGCGAAAATGAAATAAATACATAGTTTGTTTGAATAATACTTAAACAAAGCTTTTATAAATCTAAGGCTACCCCGAATAAGAGGCAGCTACAACAGGAATGCAGGTACATCTTCAAATCCCGCAACCATCGAGCACAACAACAACAACAGCCAACATCTGCACGAAATGTGCAGAACTGTAGTATCAGTACAACCGACCCCATGTACTGAGTAAGTAACAAACCTAGCCGTAGGTTGAAAGTAGTGACGAGCTTCCACCAAGGTCGGGTCCAAAACCAATAGTCCACAACAATCCATAATAATATAAAGCAAATAATACCAGAAGTAACTCAGAGATAAAATGCTCAGTCACCTCATGATTTCAGCAATAATAGTTCTTCCTTTCAAGTACATCAGTGAAAATCCAAATCTTTTGCCAAAGTTACCAAAAATATGAATAAGTTTGAAAACAATTTTTTTTCAAAATCCTTTCAATAATAAATAAAATATCTCATTTTCTTTCCAGATAACCAGTGTAAAACAAATACATCACTATGCCCATCTGTCAACATGTCTGAGAAGTCATAAATAATGTGATACCGTACAGCATGAGGAAAACATATCTCTATACATATATGTCATGTGTGCATGTCAATGCAATGTATCTCAGAGATTGTACTCATGTACTCACACTCTCAGAGTACTCAATCTCACTGTCTCGCATTCTCTCTCACTATGCTCAGCACACTCAATCACTCAACGCTATACAATACCTGCTGCAGCGTGCAGCCCGATCCCTGTTTATAGTCGACTGCGCTCACTGGGGGTATGTACAGACTCATGAGGGGCTCCTACAGCCCAAGCACTATAAGCACGGATAACTCACGTGCTATAATATCATATCTGGATCCACACANTGAAATGAATATGACTGAATATGAATTTTCAATTTAAAATAAATAATTCACAATAATATGACCTCTGTGGGTTCCAATAATACCGTCACATATCCTCAACATGATTTTTAATATGCTTTTCAGCTCAATTTCTTTAACTCATAAAACTGCATGAAAAATGCCAAGATCATTTAACTACAAAATTCTAGAGAAACAATTATGTCACAATTTCTATAGTGCACGCCCCACATGCCCATCACCTAGCATGTGCGTCACCTCCCAACAATTCACGAAATACATATATTCAGGGTGCATACCCTCAACTCCAAGATTAGAAGAGTTACTTACCTCGAACAAGCCAAATCAAATGCCGAGCAAGTTACACAATACTCCAGAAATCCCATTATGCGCGTATCAACTCCTGAATAGTTCGAATCTACCACAATTAATTTGATTCAGTCCACACAATTTATAAGAATTACTTTCATATCAAAATACTAATATTTTCCAAAAATCTGAAATTGCGCCCCAAAAATCACCTGTGGGGCCAACATCTCGAAATCCGACAAAACTCAAAAAATACGACAACCCATCCAATTACAAGTTCAACCATACTAATTTCACTCAAATCCACTACAAATCGGTATTCAAACTTGAAAAATTCGTTTTGTGACATTATATAAATTTTCTTCTATTTCTCTTGAAGATTCAATAATCTTACACCAAAAATGAAGATTAATTTATGGAATATAATCACAAGGGAGTTAAGAACACTTACCCTAAGTTGTGAAAAATTTCCTCTCCGAAATTACCTAACCCGAGCTCCAAAATCCGAAAAAATGGGTGAAAATATCGAACACTCGAATTTAAGGTTCTGCCCCAGCAATTTCCGCATATGCGGACAAGATTTGCGCACCTGCGCCTCCGCTTGTGCGAGCAAAACGTCGCATTTGCGGACTCCACTCACCTACCCAGTTTCCGCTTCTGCGCGCATCCGTCCGCATCTGCGCTCACGCAGGTGCAGATTTTTCCCTCGCACCTGCGACCAATGCCTCACAGCCCTCTGCCCGCATCTGCGCTCCTTCTCGCGTAGGTGCGATTGCGCAACTGCGAAGCTCCTTCCGCACCTGCGCGCCTCGCTTCAGCGCACCCCTGCTCGCACTTGTGAGCTCGCACCTGCGACCACTTTTACGCAGGTGCGATTACACCAGAAGGCTTCAGTTCCAGCAGTCTTCCAAATTCAAAAATCAATCCGTTAACCATCCGAAACTCACCCGAGGCCCCCGGGACCTCAACTAACTATATCAACAAGTCCCATAACATAACACGGACCTGCTCGAGGCCTCAAATCATACCTAACAACCTCAAAAATACGAACTACACACAGATTCAAGCCTAATAAATTTTCAAATTCTACAATCGACGCCGAAACCTATCAAATCATGTGCGATTGACCTCAAATTTTGCACACAAGTCACATTTCACATTACGGATCTATTCAAATTTTCAGAATCAGATTTCGACCTCGATATCAAAAAGTCACCTCCCCCCCCCGGTCAAACTTCCCAAAATTTTATCTTTCGGCATTTCAAGCCTAATTCCACTACGGGTCTCCAAATAATTTTTCGAACACGCTCCTAAGTCCAAAATCACCATACGGAGCTATTAGAATCATCAGAATTAAATTTCGAGGTCGTTTACACATAAGTTGACATCCGATCACTATTTTAACTTAAGCTTTAAACCTTGGAACTAAGTGTTCCAATTTATTCCAAAACCTCACCGGACCCGAACCAATTACCCCGACAATTCACACAACAACTGTAAAGTACAATTTGAGCAGTAAATAGGGAAACAAGGTTGTAATAGTCAAAACGACCGGCCGGGTCGTTACACAAACGCAACTGCCACAAAAAATGCTCTACGCGTTTGCGATACTAGCCACGCGAATGCGATGACCACAAACACCAACGCTTCGCAAATGCGACTTAGATTACACGAACACGATCGAGAAGTCCCCAGCTCTCAATTCTCAGCTCAGCTCTATGTGAATCGATGCCACATACACGAACGCGAACAATAACCAATACCAACCTACGCGAACGCATTCTTGATGTCACGAACGTGAAGAAGAAATATACCCAGCTCCAGAATTCCTCTACGCGATCGCGAGCCTAGCTCCGCGATCATGATGCTCTGCCGACACACCAACAATCACCAATACAACAACCATCTGAAATGATCCAAACCATATCTGAAACCCACCCGAGTCCCTCGAAACCCCGTCCGAACATATCAACAAGCCCCATAGCATAAAACTGACTTACTCGAGGTCTCAAATCACACATAATAATATCAAAACCATAAAACGTACCTCAAATTGAACTTAATGAACTTTTGAACTTTCAACTTCCAAAATTCTTGCCGAACCATATCAAATTAATTCGGAATGACCTCAAATTTTGTACATAAGTCCCAAATGACATAACGACGCTATTCCAATTTTCAAAACCACAATCTGAATATGATATCATCAAGGTCAACTCCCGGTTAAACTTATGAACATTTCAAACCTTCAAATTGCCAACTGTCATCAAATAGTGCCAAAACCTTCTAGAAACATCCAAATACAAATCCAGGTATACGCCCAAATCCAAAATCAATATCCAGACCTAGCGGAACTATCAAAACTCCGATCCGAGACCAAATACTCAAAAGTCAAATTTGATTAACTCTTCCAACTTAAAACTTCCTAGTTGAGAATCATTCTTCCGAGTTAATCCTGAATCACCTAAAAACCAAAATCGACAATTCACATAAGTCATAATACATCATATGAAGCTACTCACGACTTCAAACAGCTGAACGGAATGTAAATGCTCAAAACGACCGGCTGAGTCGTCACAGTTTCATTCTAGTGGTTCACTTTAGTTTGTGACCTAGGAAAGTTAATCACGAAAAAAGGGTTCAGTATTAACTTCAAACTTGGAAAATTTCATATTTGAATTTTCAAAATTAGTTAGGGTCCAGAGACCTCATAAAAAGGGGAAAAAAATAAGTATCATTATTACGGCAAGATTAAAACTTCGTAGCCATGCAAGAAGAATTATGGACTCCAGCTTGGTTGGCAGGGGCGGATACAGAGTCTATTGGGCACAACCTAAAAGTTTTGTCCCAAATCCTATGTATATATTGAGAAATCTACAAAATTCATTTAATATGTAGATATAATAAACTGTAAATTCAATAATATAAATGAATTATGAGTTCGGTAGCAAATAAGGAGTTACAAGAACCCATAACTTTTAAGTTCATAATTCGCCTCTAAAGTGGACACAGCATGAGATTGACAAAGAAATTTGGGTTTTTTTCCCCTTTCCCTTGATCCACTATTTTCTATTTCTCAATTTTATATTCTAGTAAACGAATGGGGTTGAGAAAATTAGGAAAATATCTTCCTAACGAGAGAGCTCTGTAGTGTCGCGACCAAAAATTAATACAAATTATTCAAACAATAATACATATATGTTTGATTTTTTTCTTCCTATTACATAGATAAGGGGATAGGGGATTATAAGTATTGAGCTCAAACCATTGTGTGAAAAATTCTGGGGATAAGTTCGGTTAACAAAGGACAAGCTCCAAACACAAATTTAAGTTTACACTCGTATAATTCATCACATAAAAGCATTGATCAAATTGGAGGAAATAACTCTCGGCCATCGTTTGGTAATTTACCTTTTAGTTTAGAGTTTTACTTTGATGGAATATGTTTTAGTTAATATTTTATTTACCAACTTCTTAGTTGAAAAAAGATTAAAATTCTAAAATATTAAACACATCCAAGACGTTGACAACTCACGAAGTACTCCAAACTGTATATTCGTTCATACATTAGAATTATCAATGGACCTAACATGAAAAGTTATTTTAGTGTACATATGCAACTTTTGGTGGGAGGGTGGGAAATGCAAAAGGGCTCCTAAAAGATCAATNGTGCTGCATGATAATTGATCACGTCGGACGTGCAAAGTTAAGGGAGGCACGTTGTACGTAGAATATAAGTGATGTGTTAGTTTTAGCGGCTAAAAGAGTCCATGCGACTTTCTCGTTGAACAGACAACTCTCTTTCCTTTTGGCTTTTGCTGAGAGAGAAAATTAAAGAAGAAAAACAAAATCCATGAATGCTTTTCCTACCTTTCTATCTTTTTCCAGATTCATGTTTTGATTAATTTTGCATCTTGTATATATTGGTATTTTTCAAGATTTTCGGTACGTTACAATTTCATACTCTTCAATTTCTTTTGGGGACGTTATTGTTAAGTTTCCACATGTTGTTTTATTAGACAAATTCACACTTTATTATTCTTAAATTTGTGGGAAATGCCTTCTGATCATCATATGTTTTCTGGATATCTTCTAGGAATTTGTTGTGATATACCTTTAAAATACTTCAAGGGAGAACAATTGGCGTTTATGTGGAATATTGACAAAAAGCAGCAATATATTGAAGGAGAATTTTTGTGGTAATTAATTTCTTTTATAGTTGAAGAACAACAATGATGTGCTGTGGAGGTGCGGAAGAAGACAGTTATAGCGGCGGTCCGCCGGCTAATCAAAATACAGCCCCTCCGAGAGCCGGCAATCCCTATGGCGGCGGTGCTGGTGGTGGTATGCTCCTATATCCTCCATTTTCTTCAATTTTCATGTTTTTAATTTATTTTCTCTTTATTGAGATTTGAACCTATGACCTAAAATAACTTTTAACTTTTTTACCACTACACTAGAATTTCCTATATGTCAAGAAGATTCAATAGTTTATATATAACAAAAATATTTTAGTCCTCTTTGCAAAGTACAATTAATTTTACCATGAAGGGATTCAATGAACTTCTTCCCTCCACCTAGTTCCACCCCTGAGTTCAATTAAATGAATTTGTCAAGTCAAGAAAAATGTACTATTTATCGCTTGAGAGTCAAAATGAACATGCCTACTACCAAAGAGATGGCTTGACACTTTGATTGATCCAAACTCCAAGATCTTGTATTAGTGAAAGCTTGTTTGTTTGAAAATGCAGCTAGTGAAAGAGGAGAGCCAAGGAGTGCTGCTAGGAGTGGAGCTCCTCAGAAAGTTCTACCGATTGAGGTACCAGAAATGTCCTTGGATGAGCTAAATAGACTTACTGGTAACTTTGGACAGAAAGCTCTGATTGGAGAGGGATCTTATGGCCGCGTTTTTGGTGCTAAATTAAGCAATGGCCAACAAGCAGCAATTAAGAAATTGGATACTAGTTCTTCACCAGAACCAGATTCTGACTTTGCATCCCAGGTCTTGAGTCCTTGATATTTTCTTCCTTTTTCGTACTATAACTAGTACGGTACTACTTTAGGAGGAACAGATCATTCTCTCAAATTTGTTTCCTTTTTGTTTATGCAGTTATCAATAGTTTCAAGACTTAAACATGATCATTTTGTGACTCTGATGGGGTATTGCCTGGCAGCAAATAATCGAATCTTGGTTTATGAGTTCGCAACCATGGGCTCGTTGCATGATGTGTTACATGGTGTGTTGATAATTGTATCATGAATGGACTTCCCAATGATTCTTGGTTTGGTCAATATGAATTCATTCTAGAATCATCTAGTGTAGGCTAGATTGTGCAATTCTTTAGTTTCTGTTGCAGCGTCATAAGTGATTCTTGGATGTTCTGTTGTAGGTAGAAAAGGAGTACAAGGTGCTGAGCCTGGTCCAGTTCTTACTTGGAATCAGAGAGTTAAAGTTGCTTATGGTGCAGCTAGAGGCCTCGAATATCTACACGAAAAAGTTCAACCACCAATTATTCATCGTGATGTCAGATCCAGCAACGTGCTACTCTTTGATGATTTTACAGCAAAGATTGCTGATTTCAACTTGACAAACCAGTCTTCAGACACAGCAGCTCGTCTGCATTCCACTAGAGTTCTTGGGACATTTGGCTACCATGCTCCAGAGTATGCCATGACAGGACAGATAACACAAAAAAGCGATGTGTATAGTTTCGGAGTTGTTCTCTTAGAGCTATTGACAGGAAGGAAGCCAGTAGATCATACAATGCCCAAAGGCCAACAGAGTCTTGTTACATGGGTAGGGTTCTTATCCTTCCTAATTTTTGTTTAGCTCTCTTTAAATAATACTGGTTCATCCTCAAATCTTCTGCAGGCAACTCCGCGATTAAGTGAAGACAAAGTGAAGCAGTGTGTTGATCCCAAGCTAAATAATGAGTACCCTCCAAAGGCAATTGCTAAGGTTTTTTTTCTCATCTTTGATAATCATGTTTTGAACAAATTCTTGTCAATTTTGTTTTACATCATGTAAGCACTATTCGGTTTATTCTCAGATGGCAGCTGTTGCAGCACTTTGTGTTCAATACGAGGCAGATTTCCGGCCAAACATGACAATTGTGGTTAAGGCACTGCAACCACTTCTCAATGCAAAACCAGCAGGATCAGAGCCTCAAGCATAAGACATTCTTGATTGAAACAAGCATGCCTAATTCTTAAAAAGTTCATGGTTTCGTTGCCAATCCTGAAAAGAGGAATTCTTGAGTTATTGTCATAGTAGTAGCAGATAATTGTTAATTTCCCTCTTTTCTAGTCTGTTTCTACAATTAGAAGCTATGGACCTTTTGGATTTTGCCTTTAAACAAGAAATTTCTTAACTAGGTTCTTTGTGAAATGATGCTAGGATATCAGCTTCGTGTTTGTTTTTCCTTTTTTTCTTCTTTACTTATGAGGCCAAATTCCAATCTGTATCAAGTTTTATAGTCTTGTCAATCAAATTTCCTCAACAAATATATGGTCACTAAAGTTATACAAAGTTTTCTTGCTTGGAAGGAGAATCAAGAGAACATGTAAGCTGTAATAAATATCCCATGCAGTAGTGCTTGCAATCCACTAGATCCTTACAGCAAAATAAGGTTCAAGATTATGTATTATTTTCTTGTTTGCTAAGCGCTCTGAATGTTTGATTAATTACTAAAGTAAATAATCAGCTATTAACACTAGCAACGCATTCCGGTCAAAGACAAAGGGTAGAATTTCTTTTGCCAACACAAGCATATGTTGAAAAGACAATTAAATAAATAAAAAGTGATGAGATTCACAGTCTCTACAATAATATTACAATCCATATTAATAATATAGTGAAGCAAATAAAACTAGGAAACAAATTATCTTACAACTACACAATTTCTTAACTAAGTAAGCAAAATAAAATATGTAACGCCCGGAAAATTTCGTAGTGTTTAAAGGCTTTAAAGAAGATCGGCATGTTCTAATTATATTAATTCGCATGTGAGCAAGGGCTAATGATTTAAATGATATCATTTGAAAATGATAATATGTGTACGAGGTATATAGAAACGGTTTATGGTCTAAGAAGAGTCATAAGGTTAATTTAAGTTGGAAGCTATATGATGGGCTAAAGTTTCAAATGAATTCAAACAAGACTTACGTTCAGACGAGCATAACTCTAAAGATATAAAGTGTTATATGGTTTATGAACTATTAGATGAAAGGTCTATGTGTGTAGTTTCCAATGCTTTAAACTGTTCATCGTTTGAATATTTTTACAATAAGTTATGGGCGTTTTACTAGAAGGTGGTAGTGCAGCTACGCAGCAGGCTACGCAACCCGCGTAGCCAATTTCAGAATTTGGCTAAGGGAAGGCCTCCTGCTTAGCTTTCATACGTAGGCTACGCAGCTTTATGGGTCATTTTTAAAGGGTTGAAACAAGGGTTTAGAGAGAGAATAAGTTAGTTCTTCGACTTGGAATTGATTTCTAAAGAAAAAAGGAGCTCTTCCACCATGGATACACTTAAAGGTAAGTTATTTTAGTACAAGTATGATTATATAACATCATTTAGTGATAACACTAACATTATTATGGATCAAATCCATAGGAAATATGTTGAATCTTCAAGAATACCAAAAAGAGAAAAAGTGAGATTCTTCTACCTAGAGGTAATCCCTTCACTTGAGCCTCATATATGTGATATATTGAAGTGTGGATAGTATGTTTATGAAGTTTATTTGAAGTTAAAATGAAGTATTATAGGAACCCTAAGAGCGGGTCCTGAAAATGATATTTTATGAAAAGAAGAAGATGAATAGTGATGAATTGATATAAATGAGATTATTTTGAGTTTCTAATGATTCCAATAGAATTGATAACTTAATTGATGAATGAATTGAATCGGGAATCGCCATTTGAATAAGATACATCACTAGTTCTTGAAATGGGTGTTCTTGAACCTAGGATTTTGTTGGAGAATGTAATGAATAGTAACTTGATGATGTTGGGTAATCAACATAGTATCATTAATGACTTCAAATGAGTATTAAATGTTAAGAATGGAATTTAATAGGCTAATGGGTGAACCTATTGGATAATTTGGGATAGATGAAGGCTTGTTGCCGAATTGTAAAGACTAAATGGATGGTTAAAGGCTTGTTGCCGAATGGTAGATATTGAATTGTTGGTCATATTTGGGCATTTTAATCAATTGGAGCGGTGTAGTATTATTTGGAGCTTGAAGGTTGAGGTAAGTTGATTAAGACTTACTCTTCTTGAGGAACTTTCTCTAAAAGTATGTTTTCAGTTGATACATTATACTATTTGTAAATGTGCATCCGTACTTGTGGGGACAAGCGAGAAAGATTTCACCATGTGTTTCTAAATTTGTTGCTTATGAAGTGTCATGTAATTTTATAAAAATCTTGTTTTCAAACTTTTTTGGCAAAATGACACTTATTAAAACTTATATGTTGATAAGAGTATAAAATGCTTGAGCACTAAAGATGTGTTTTTATGAAAAAGTTTGTCTTTTGTAATTTCAACAAAGGAGTAGCACTTGTTGTATCTTTACATTGATATTAAATTGCTAAAGACTTTAACATGAAAAGGTTATTTATTTGCTTTAGTTCAAATGCTGGATTTGCTATGAAAATTATGATTTGTAAAAATAGATCCTTTGAGTCTATTATGCTATAAATCTATTTTTGATATGTCAAATATTCTTGGAGTTACTAGTGGAGATCACCGGGATTGGTTCAAATATTGAGTTTGTTACCATGGAACTACATGTGCCCCTGTAGGAATACATTCCAAGGCTAAGCCGAGGTTTGTGGGACAAGGTCCCCCATTGAGAGAGCAAATGATCATTACTTAAAGTAATGAAGTTAAGTCGACTCGTACGACACTACAGTAAGCCGCCCAGACAAGTAAGGTCAAATACTTGTTGTTAGGTTGATCACCTAGTAGTTGTTCATTATGTCGGTGTCGGTATAGTACTCCCGCTGAAAGGTAAAAGAGAACTTTCTTATGTTTACGCCTAAGGAGCCGAAAATGATTTTAAGGACTTAATGAGATTGAAATGATTTTATATGATGTCTATTAAAATCTTGGGTTGATAGAGACGTTCTAAAACTTTATAGCATGGCTTATATTTCATTTGTCTTTTATTTAAATTGATAAAGCGCATAATTTATATAACCGTTTATCATTTTATATCAAATATTGGTTGCATAATTTTTGTAAAATTTTATCCCAGGAACTTGAGTTAGAGAGAGCCTATGACACTTATTGAGTACCTTGGTGGTGTACTCAGCCCTACGGACCCCCCTTCAGGGGTCCACTTACTTTACATGTTTCAGGACGAAGTATGATACGTAGCATGTGGAAAGGGCTAGGATGACTCTTCCTGAGGTATATGGTGAGGCACCACTCCTATTTCGTGGTAGCTATCATATTATTTTCTTAATTTAAGTTAGTCGTGCATTAGACCAAGTGTTTAGTTCTATTATTTGGTATAGAGGCTCCATAAATAGTGGTGGCGAGTTGTAGTAATGGGATGGTACATGATATATATAAAAAGATATTTGTTTTATTTGGTCTTATTATTTTAATGAAAGATTTCATGTATGATTTTGAATTAGAAAATTATGCAATAGTTTAACTTGAAAATATATAAAATTTTCAAAGAGCTTCTGCAATTACATTGGTTTCATATATAGGGGTTGGTTCGCTCGGGTCGGGTAGTGTGCCGGGTGTCGTTCACGTGATTTTGGGTCGTGAAAAACTTAGTATCAGAGCACTAGGTTCTAAGTCGAGTCCTAGGAAGTCTATGGAGCCGTGTCAAGTAGAATCTCTCTTATGAGTGTGTGCCAACCACACTTATATCGGGGAGGCTACAAGGACATTTAGGGTATTTTACTCTAGATCGTGCATTGTGCCTGAAGTGAGAAATATAATTCTCTGTCGTATTGACTACATGATGTGGTAGATATAGAAGTGAAGATCACAAAACTCAAGGTTCAACATATGGCACGTGCTGCTTGAGAAGTAGCTGGGAAGTATTAGATTATCCATGAATGGAATGATAGGTTAAGGCTGCAAACATATTTAAAATTGATACAGTCAAGATGTACTACTGCGGTGAACATGAATCATATGTCGAATTCCGATAACTCATGGAAAAGAAAATAAGGTAATGATATCAGTTGGTACTATTAGAAGGGTGTCAGAACTCACGAAGGATTATACCGAAAGATAAAAAAAAAGTAAGGCCCTAAATGGGAATGCAAGTTGTAGGTCAAGGTATTGGGACAACCATTTGCTATAACGGTCACCATTTACTATTACAATAAAGGTATAAATAAATAAAAAGGAAATACAATGGTTCCAAGATAAATGGGAATGTTATACCTCAAATTACCGCGATGTGATATCGAGAAATGACAAGAATCGAATTAGTAAGAGAATATGAATCAATCAAGTTCATATTGAGCACCTTGTAACTCATAAGGATGCAGATCTATTTGGGATAACGCCAAGAATGATCAAAAGTATCTTTTAGAAAAGAGGATGTAAGGAAACCTTCATGATTTTCAGAAAGGTGAACAAGGCAAAATGCAAGAGATGACCCTTAGTCTCACAAGAGATTGGGAGACTCTCGACTTGGCAACGTCTTTTCATAGTAGTGTCTCATGTGATGATGTAACTTATAAGAAATAAAGTGCCATGTGGGGGAACAAGTTGAGGGTATTTGAAGCATGTCATATGCAAAAAAAAGGGTAAGTAAACTTTGAATACCTCCAGATGTCAAAAGTAAAAGTCAACCTTCAATGATGCACACTGAGGTATGTGAACTTAAATAGGTAAATAAAAAAGTGCTAATGCATGATATGCACAAAAGATGTAACCTTAGAAGATTTCTAGAAGCAAATAGATTGCCAAAGAAGGTAAAGTGATGTGGAATGAAAACCTTGAGTTTGTCTAATTGGGATATGCCTTATTTTTTCCTTTTGAACTTCTGGCAATTGAGAATTTTTAAAGGTAACTTCCAAAGCACCTCTACATGTGTCAAGTGGAGCTGTTAACTTATTATTTTGATGGAACCTTAAGATGCAAGAGGAATAAAATATTTGAAATGATGTATCGGGTCAAACTGAAGCTTCGGGTAGATTATGAATATTGCATATGTAGTTTAAGGCTAAAGAGCTTGCAAACGATAATATTACACATGTGAAGTTGATGAGATACAAGTGATCCAAGGCTACATAGTGATGCCTCACGAATCCTAACATGTTAATCTACAACAACGAGATTGAAGATACCTCGAGATATGAAGTTAATTATCGTACGAATGATTGACTATCCGCAAGCAGAATCCATGAATAGTAGGGAAACAAGGAGGTAGTATTAATTGCATGAGGCATGATGATGTGTAGGCGTGATATTAACTATAG